CGTCGGTGAACGGGGAGGCCGGGCCTGTGCCCCCGCCGCGCGCGCACGGCTCCTTCTCCCACGTGCGCGACGCCGACCTGCTGAAGAAGAGGCGCTCGCGGCTGCGGAACAGCAGCTCCTTCTCCGCGGACGAGCAGGACGCTGGGGCCGCGGTGAGTCCCCGGGGGTCGCTGTCAGGGGTAGTCGCCGGGCTCTGAGGGGCTGACGGCAGAGCTGGCACGCGGGGTAGTGGCTCCAGGGCGGCGGGAATCAGCTGGACGTGGGGAGGCGCTTTCTGATGGGAAGGGCCGAGGTACTGGGAGGTAGAATGGCAGGGGGCATATGCCAGCGAGGCCGCTAGGCTCACAGCTGCTGCAGGATCCCCATTCTGCTGCCAGCCTTGGGATACATGCTGACGGTTTTTAACGCTTGGCACCCACTTAGGGGAACCCTGGGCTGTAGCAGGACGTTTGCAGATTGTGGCTGGTGTTGTTGGCACACGGTGCAGCCCGCCTTGGTGGCCTGTGAACTGGGTTTGGGTGTTTCCCCCTGCTGGTGGCCCAGGGCCAACCAGCAACCACCCCACCCCACAAGCCGGGTGCTGAGTTTCTATACTCAAGGGTGGCCCTCCAGGACTTCTGGACCCTAACGTGTTCCGACTTGGATCATTTCCCCAGATACCGAAGACCAGTTTCTTCTCTTCTGATAATGGGAGGTTGGAGGTTGGAGTCCCTGCCAGGGCCCATGTTGCCCATCCCCTGCAGGTCTCAGGTCAAAGTCTCCCAGGGGTCCAGTCATCTCTGGACTGAGGGGGTGGTCCCAGTGAGGTCGGGATTTGCTCAAGGGCTCACAGCCACTGAAGTCCAGACTGCACGCTTTCGAGCTGGGGCTCCAGCTGCTGCACCATCCTGCCTGTGACAGTGGGGCCGCTCTGTCAGGCCTCTCCAAGACGTCAGCTGCCCAGGGATGGAGCTGAGTTCGAAGGAGGAAGGGATGAGCTGGGAAAGGTTTCTTGGGAGAGGTAGCCATTTTCGTGAAGCTGGTAAGATGGGCAGGTTTTCCCAGGTGAGAAATGGGAGGGGGCCCCTCTCAAGTGGAGGGACCAGGCAAACTCAGATCTCATTTAGAGAACTACTGCTCATCTCTTGTGAGGGGGTGGGGCAGCTGGGAGAGCAGGAGCCTCGAGTGCCAGGATCAGAGGCTCAGGGTTGATTCTATGAATGAGAGATGGACGGCTTGGGAGGCATCCACAGGAGATGTAAGAGGCAGCAGTCAGCAGGACACTGCCGCCCAAGCCATCTCTTGGCCTCTGGCTACAACCCCATTAAGGTGTGTCAGTGGCTCTTTAAATCTTAAAGGGGAAGATCCATCGTCCACCCTTTTGGGCTCAAGGCCCAGCATCTGGTCCTTCCAGGCTGGGCTCTCCCCTGGCCTTTGTCCCACAGGACCCGTGGTGCTGGAGGGGGTGCCTCCTCCTTGGCCCCTCCATCCCCCATGCGCCATGCATGCAGTGCGAGGTGGTGGGACCTGGCCCTGCCCTCAGAAGCTCCCAAAATCCTGGAGGGGGATGAGGTCGGACACTCTACAGCTGGGGTGAGGCTGGGCTCCAGCCGGGCCAAGGGCAGGGTGCCTCTGGTGTGGCCCAGGAAGGCTTCCTAGAGGAGGGGCCACCCAGGAGGGTATAGAAAGAGGAATTTGGGTCAGACAGGAGGAAGCATTCTTTGGAATTCCCATCACGGCTGGGTATGAGTAAGCACATTTGCTGCTGAGGTTGGAGTTTCTCCACTCTCCTGCCTCTGCCTGTTGTCAGCAGCTGCAGCTGTCATTTGAGCGTTTTCTGTGTGCCTGGCCTGCCCCGATGCCCCCTCACCCACTCCTAACAATGCTTCTTCCAAGGAGGAATGATTAGCCCAGTTTACAGGTGGGAACGTCGAGGCTCAGGGAGATGAGAGGTAAAAGGAGTTTGCTGCGGATGTGAACCCAGGTTCTGAGCCTGAGCTCTTAAATGGTGCCCTCTACTGGACCCAGCATTGTGTGACCCTGGGAAGCCGCTTAACCTTTGTGTGCTCTCTCCTCGAGCATGAGAAGCTACCATATGGAAGCCCTTTGCAAGGTGGCACTGAGGCCACTGTAGAGTGCTGTCAAAAACGGGGTTCTCTGTGTTCCCCTTGATGACTTTTGAGGGGCCTGAAGCCCCTAGGTTACCCAGGGCTGAGATTTCTCCCCATTTTACATGTGAGAACACAGAGGCCCAGTGGGTGTGACTGAGCCAGAGGCACACAGCAAGTTGGTGGCCAAGCCTGGGAACAGACTTTGGGTTAGACAACCTCAGGCACCAATCAGGCCCAGTATGAGTCTCACCTCTGACCCCCAGTTTCCTCATCCGTAAAGCGGAGGTGGTACTAGCCCCTGCCTCACAGAGTTGTTGCGAGAACTAATGGAATCAATCAGTGCTTTGAAGAGTGCCCGACGCATAAATGCTTAGTGTTGTGTGCCGTCGAGTCGATTCCAACTCATAGCGACCGTGTAGAGTAGAACTGACCTGTGGAGTCTCCAAGGCTATAATCTTTATGGAAGCAGACTGCCACATCTTTTCTCTGTGAAGTGGCTGGTGGATTCCAACTGCTGACCTTTTTGTTAGCAGCTGAGTGCTTAACCATTGTACCAGCAGGCCTCCTAGACATTAGCTATTACTAACCAGTATACCCTGAACGCATACTCTGGGCCCAGCCCTGTCTGAAGGGGCTACCTCTGGTCTGGGAGACATGGGTAACCAACAGCCATGTGTTGGGGGGAGGGGTTGGAGTTGTGATGGGGGAGGCCCAGGAGGCCATGGGAGGAGCATCTCCCCAGCCTGGGGACCAGGGGAGGCTTCAGGAGGCATGAAGGTCAGGAAGGGAGGCAGAGAGAGCAAATGGGAGCCCGAAGGGACCCCTGGAGACAAGGCTGAGCTGGGTCATGAAAGTCAAGCTGGTGTTGGGCAATCCAAGCTGGAGGCCTACTCCAGGCTACGGAAGCTCTTTAGGGAACTGAAAGTCCATCACTGTGGCCAGAGGGTGGCATCTAGTTGGAGTTTGGGGGAAGAGGAGAGTTGAGGCTGGAGCTGCCAACAGGCCTTGGCAGCTGGGCTGGGAGCTGAGGAGGGCTGTGGGGGGCATGGCCCCACCCGGTGAAGATTGAGGAAGACCCCTCAGTTGTGGTATGAGGGTGGAGTAAGCAGGCAGGGCCTGATGGCTACTGAAGAGGAGGCCACCACTGTCCCAGGCCAGAGAAGATGGCCCCTGAGCCACGGATGTCCAGGACTGCCTCTCAGAGAGGTGCAGGGTGGGGGGGACAGTGGGGCAGCTCCACCCCTTCTCCCCACCCTGTGACCTGCCAGAAGGGTGGCTGGAATAAGAGCCATCAAGGAGAGCCAGGCTGTCAGTGGGCCAAAAGTTGGGGCTCCCCAGGGATAATGGGGCCCTTGCAAGTCACCAAGGGTGGGGTACATCTGGGGCCAGTCCATCACTTCCAGGCTAAAATTCTCAGGTCCATCTAGCCTCAGGTCCAGTCCTGAGTGTTGTGTGAAGAGGACAGCAGCCACCAGGTGTGGGAATTGATAAAGCAGGAGGGTGCCCCCTTTCAACAAAGAGGTGGAGGTGCTGGCTCAGAATGGCCTAGGTCTGGAGATGGAATGGCATCAGGTCTGCTTAGCGTCATGGTCCCAGCCAGCACGGAGTGACAAGTCAGAGGTGGCCTGAGGGAGCTCCATGGAGGAGGGGCCCTTCCTCCTTCACATCCTTTCACCCCGATTGTCATGAGAGTGGGGCTGGGGTTATCAGCCCAGTGCCAGGAAGGAGGACTCTGAGAGTGGGCGTGAACTGGCCCAGGACCACAAGGCCTGGCCCGTGGCCTTTGCTCCAGGATGCGCTTCCCTAGAGGAGGGGGTGGGGGTTCTCTGCATGCAGGACTGGAGAGGCAACTGGGGCAGGCGGGTCTCAGATTGAGAACCCCTCCTCCCTGTGTGCGTGTGACGCTCTGGCTGGCCCCAGGGCAGGGACTGTTGGGGAACCCCTTCCAGCCTCACTAGCCCCTTCTTTCACAGGAAGGCCCAAGCCCAGACCCCAGCCCTGCCCCTGGCCCAGCCCCAGCTGCAGCCCTGCAGCCACCCCTTGGTGAGTAGTGTTGGAGAGCTGGGGATCCAGCTCAGCTCAGGCTGCTCACAGATCCAGGGCTGGGGACCTCCTGGGGTGAGTGTCGGCTGGGGGTGCCTTAGCCTGGTCTCTGTTTGCAGGTGGGATCCCCCCATCAGAGGAGCTGCCACCAAGCCTGGGGGAGGAGGCTGGGCTGGTAAGGAGGGCTGAGGTGGATGGAGCGGGCATGTGGGCACTTCCTAGGGGCGTCTGGGCTGAGCCCACCATCTCCCTATCCCCCATTCTACTCCAGCAGCGGTTCCAGGACACAAGTCAGTATGTGTGTGCAGAGCTGCAGGTCCTGGAACAGGAACAGAGGCAGATAGATGGGCGGGCGGCCGAGGTGGAGACGCAGCTGAGGAGCCTCATGGAGTCAGGTGGGGCAGGCTGAGCACACTGCCCAACACCAGCCACCAGATCTGCCCAGCCCTGCAGCTCTTCCTGACCTTGGGAGGAGGTGGGAGAAGGCACAGCTGGGTCATCGTCCCCATTATACAGCTCAGCATGCTGAGGCCCTGAGCAGGGAACACAGTGCACACAGCGCTTCGGCTCTGGCTTCTGGGTTGCCACAAAGGGGCATGCCTCCTCCGGGAATCCCTCAGCTGCTCTGCCCTGCTCCTGACACCAGGGCCAGGTGGCAGGCCTGGTGACCGCCCTGGCCCTGTTCAGGTGCCAACAAGCTGCAGGAGGAGATGCTGATCCAGGAGTGGTTCACACTGGTGAACAAGAAGAACGCGCTCATCCGGAGGCAGGACCAGCTGCAGCTGCTGTGAGTTGCTGGCCCATCCCCGGGCAGGTCCAGGCCCCACCCCCCTAGCCCAGGCCCCGCCCCCTTCCCGCCCCGGACGGCGGGTTGAGGGCCCGCCCAGAGCGAATCTTGGCTGCTTTGGCTAGAGCCTCACCGCTTTATTCTTTCTACCAAGATATTTTTTTAAAATATTGCTCAGCCATCTTATTACAGGTAGTCTCCGACTTAGGACGGGCTTCGTCCCAATGACTCCGTCGTAAGTTGGTTCTTACGTAAATAGAATACTTTTTTTTTTTTCAGTTTTCATTATTATTGCCTTTTATTATCAGAATTTTTATAAATCCGATCTTTATTTGTCTTTGGGGCTTAGAAACATTACATATAAACTTTCACTTATATTTTAATACATACATATTACTAACAATAAGATGTCCAGAAAAAAAAAGTCGTAAGTGCAGTTGTGGCGTAAGTCAGGGAGTAGGTGTAATTGTTTCTAATTCCTGTATAAAGTATATACCTCTTAAGTTGGTACTATTTTTACTAATGAGAAAGCCAAGACCCAGAGCAAAATGTGGCCGTGTTCCTTTACAGTAAGGGAAAGAGGCCCAGAGAGAGTTTACCTGGTCTGCGGAGTGGGGTCAAAAGCAACTCTCCAGGATCGTTGTTTTTATAGTCCTGCACGGTGGAGGCAGTTTTGCCTCCCTTTCGCATTTTGGACCGCTTGTCAGAATAATTTTAGTCTAATACTTGTTGTTGATGAGTAATGTTCATCCAAATATTCCTGCTGAATTGTTTCTTATTAAAACAAGGAGGGGGACACAAAGTAAACACCCAGCTAAGCTGTGGTCGGAGAAGTGTTGGAACCAGAGATGGGCGGGCTGGCGCCTGGGGGCCTGGGGTGTAGCTCTGCCCTCAGCCCCACCCTTCTCAGGAAGGGGGCGAGGTGGGGTGGGATCAGAGCCCTGGGCACTTCCTCCCCGACCGTTTTCCCTAACCTGACACCCACCTTGTCCCCACCCGCAGCATCGAAGAGCAGGACTTGGAGCGGAAGTTCGAGCTGCTGAGCCGGGAGCTGCGGGCCATGCTGGCCATCGAAGGTGGGGGACAAAGCCAGAGGGGCGGGGGGGCGAGGACCAGGCAGGGGCCGGGGCTTCTGACACTCAGCCTCCTCCGCCCTCAGACTGGCTGAAAACCACCGCGCAGCAGCACCGAGAGCAGCTCCTGCTGGAGGAGCTGGTGTCCCTGGTGAACCAGCGCGACGAGCTGGTCCGGAACCTGGATCACAAGGAACGGATGTGAGTGGAGGCTGGGGCCACGCTGGGTGCTGGGGAGGGCTCCGGGGCTCTCTCCCCACGAGCGCTCGGCCGGGGCCCGGACGCCAGAGCTGACTCGAGCCCGTTCCCTCCTAGAGCCCTGGAGGAGGACGAGCGCCTGGAGCGCGGGCTGGAGCAGCGGCGCCGCAAACTGAGCCGGCAGTTGAACCGGCGCGACCGCTGCGCGCTGAGCTGAGGCCGGCGGTCCAGGAGGCGCCCGCCTCGGCTCCTCGGCCACCGCCCGCCCCTTCCGGCCGGCTCGGACCGCGCCTTGTCGGGCCCCCGGCGCCGCTGGCCTGCGCTCCAAGGACCAGGCCGCCTGGAGGCGGCGCGGCCGCTGGGAGCCGCTGTCGCCCTTCACGGGAAGAGGTGGGCGCGGACCTTGGGCCCGACGGGCTGGAGCGCCGGGTGGCCGCGCCGTCGGGCGGTATTTATTTGTCCGTGTGAGTGTGTGTGCGTGTGTTCGCGGGGGGCCGGGAGTCTCCAGGAGCGTCCCGCTGACACCTTCCCAACGGTGGGGCGCGGCCGGTCAGCAGCGGCGAGAGGACTGGATCATGGACTGCCCTGCCTCGTCTCCTTGCTGTTCCTCGGAGCAATAAAGTTAGACGACGAGACACCGGCGCGGCCCTTTCTCTAGGCAACTCGGGCTTTCAATGGACGGAAGAGGGTGGGGCTTAGGCCGGTAGGGTTGTCTCCGATTCCACAGGGGCGTGGAGGTTCCTAAACGCAAGTGAGGCTGGACCTTAGCCTAGGGAGGATGATGGAGTGCGGACTGGGCGGTGGGGATTGTGTTGTTGATGGCCGTAGGGAATCCCATTTCGAAAGAAGAGATGAATGAACAGTCGGAGTTGTTGCCCATTTTATTATTCTAGTAACACTGTATTCCCGGAGGCCCTCACAGCGACCTCACCCCGCCCCCCATCTCCAGAAGCTTCCCCTAACCACTTAACAGCTTAACCTCCTCCGCTCGTCCACTTTAAAGGAGTTGAACCACCTGACACCTGTCAGCAAGCTTGCTCCAGGCTGGGGGCTGCGGGCGGCAGGGTGCTCAGAGCCAGTCCATCCTGCCCTACGATGCCACCTTGGTCCTCACTGATCGAAGGGCCACTGGACTCGAAGAATCTCACGATGGCACGGACCTGTGGCAGCTCCACCAAAGTCTCCACGGCCAGCAGCATGGCCAGGAGCCCGAGGAGCATATAACCTGGAGAGGAGAGGTGGCCAGGCAGCGCTTGGGGCACGATGACGCTCTGCGTCCACCTCCCGCACGGGATACCGCTTAACCACAAGGTCTCGGGTGAGGAGGGGTGGGGTTCTAAGAACTACAACTCCCATACTGCCCTAGGGTAGGAGCCCTCGGCCCCTGGGGTTTAGGCCCCTCCCCCAATGGTTTATGGGAGTTGTAGTCCAGGCTCAGCACCCCCCTCCCCCGCCCCTCGGCGCTTTTTGACGCCGGGCTCACCGAGAAGAGCAAGCTGGCCGAAATGATAGACCGCTGGGTGCAGGCCGCGGCCGTGGCCCGGCAGCAGGTCCCCAAAGCTGATGGTGGTGAGCGAGTGGAAGCAGAAGTAGATAGCCCGTAGCAGGCTGCCGTCGCCCTGTAGCTGCCACAGCACCAGCGCTGGCAGCAGCACGAAGATGCCGCTTACCAGCAGGCCCAGTCCAGCAGCCTGCAGCAGCGCAGCCCGGGCTGGTGCCAAGCGGCAGCAGACCGCTGCCCAGTCCCCCAGGCGGCTGAGCACAGGCAGTAGGTAGTGGCGCAGCACCGCCACAAGTGCCAGCGAGGCCGGCAGCCCCAGGGTGGCGTAGACCATACAGAAGACCTTGCCACCTGATGATAACGGGGCTGTGTTGCCATAACCTGGAGGGAAGAGCGAGGGTGGACACTTGAGTGGGATGCCCACAAGGGGTTATCTCTCCCCCCAACATCTCCTCCCGCAGAAGGCCTCCCTCTGGTGGCTGAAATCGCCTGAGCTGCTGAGGCCCCTGTTACGTTCAGATCTGCCCCTCATTCACTGGGGGATCCTGGGCAAGTCCACTAAACTCTCTGGGACACTGTTCTTTTCTGGAAAATGAGGGATTAAAGGAGATCCTTTCTTCAGACCTCTCAGAGCTGGGATGATTCTGAGAACTGCCGTCCTGCCCCCAGTGGGAACCTGGCTTTCTGACAGATTCCTCAGCTCTGTCATTCACTCGTTCATTCTCCAAAGGTGTATCAGGTCCCCTGTGGGCCAGGCCTGGTGCTGGAATCTGAGTGAGCCCCATACCCCAAACCAACTGCCGTCGAGTTGGTTCCGAATCATAGCAACCCTGTAGAACAGAGTAGAACTGCCCCATAGGGTTTCCAAAGCTGCAGTCTGTCTGGAAGCAAACTGCCACATCTTTCTCCGCAGAGCGGCTGGTGGGTTTAAACTGCCAACCTTTTGGTTAACAGCCAAGCACTTAACCACTGCGTCACCAGGGCTCCTTTGAGTGTGCCCAGGCCCTGCCTTTGGTGGGAGAGGCAAGCAGGAAATCAGTCCTGACATTTGACATAAGGGGCTACAAGAGTCAGCATGCAGAAGGGCATTGGAAACTGAAAAAGCATGTGCAAAGGTGGGAGAACAGGGCATCCTGGGAGAACAAGATCCACTAGTCCAGAGATCGCAAATGCAAATCTCCAGGCGCCAGATGTGAGACAAGAGGGAGTGGTTGGGACTGGAGCAGACTAGAGAGCATGTGCTCTGCCCCAACGGGCGGGCCCGGTTTCACTCCAGCCAATGTGCTCCGTTATGGGGTTCTCACTCAATGCAGATAGGTTTCCTGATTTTTCAGAAGAAGCTGGAAACACAGACTTCAATTCAAAAACGATTTAGACCCTCTGAAGGACAAAAAAACTTCAGGACTCTGGGTCCTTTGCTTCATTTCCCTGGGCCTTTGCACGTGCTATTCCCTCTGCCAGGAATTCCTTCATCCCTTGGCTTTCTGCCTGGTTGCCTTGGTTAACATCTCATCAGGCACTACCTCTCCCAGAAGCCTTTTCTCACATCCCCTCCTGAGTCACTGATCCTGCTTTGTACTCCCAAACCAAAAAACCAAACCCATTGCCGTGAAATTGATCCCAACTCATAGCAACCCTACAGGACAGATTAGAACTGTCCCATAGGGTTTCTAAGACTGTAATCTTTAAGGAGGCAGGCTGCCACATCTTTCTCCCATGATGCAGCTGGTGGATTCAAACCACTGACCTTCCAGTTAACAGCCAAGCACTTTAACCACTGCACCACCAGGGCTCCTCTGTGCTCTCCAGCTACCTCCATTCAAGAATCCATCCCGCCGTATATGTTCCCTGCCTTCCTCAGGCCTGTGGGGCCTGGGCACCTCTCCCGGGCCTCAAAGGGTGCCTGGGGATGGAGCTGGGGAGGCCGCACCCCTCCTGGCAGCTGAAGTGGAGGCACCAGTTGGGGCGCGTTGGTGTTAGGAGCCCGAGCTGTGATGTCAGGGCTGATAGGCCCTGGGCTCTGTCTGGTACTTAGGGGCTGGGGGAAGGGCGGTGCCCCCAGAGACCCCCAGGGAGCAATGGCTTCAGGAGTCCCCTCCTGCCTACCCGTGGTGGTGATGATGCCGGCAGTGAAGAGCAGGGCTGAGGGCAGGTCCCAGTTCCCAGCCTCGGAGCCGTTGCCCAGGCTGGAGACCCCGTGGGCCTGGGCTGCCAGGGCGGTCCCCAGCAGCCCCTCCAATGCCCCAGGTGGCAGGCAGGCTCCATAGTCTGCCTGGAAGGTGGCCAGCTCGGCTCTGAGCTTGGCCTGGAGCTGGCGTGTTGGAGGCCCCTCCAGGGCCTGGAACACGGCAGCCCCAAGCCCCAGGACCAGCAGGTGGCCCACAACCAGGAGCCCATATCGGGCCCAGGGCCTCAGATCCCCCATTTCGTGTTGCCCAGAGTCTGGGGTGTTGTAGGAGCCCTGCTTCACCGCAGACGCATGGGAGGGGCCGGGCAGGCCAGGGCTGGGAGGAGGTGCATGTGGTTGAGGGGTGGGAAGCCTGGGACGCAGTGCAGTCGAATGGGAGGAGGAAAGCAGCCCAGGCTTGCAGGTGAATCACTGTTCATAGTTTTGGGGGCAAGAGAGGGTTTGTTTGCTCATTTCACTGCTGGTGGAGTGGAGGAGAACGCCGCTGTGGTGAGGGCAGGGTGAGGAAGCTGGGCCCAGAGAAGTAAACAATTGACTCAAAATCACACTGTGGTTTATTCAAGGACACACTTATTCACACATGTATCCCATTCGAAGTTGTCAAGGATTTCATTTTACTTGGGTCCACAATCAACACCCATGGAAGCAGCAGTCAAGAAACCAAATGACATATTGCATTGGGCAAATCTGCTCCTAAAAACTTCTTTAAGGTGTTAAAAAGCAAAGATGTCACTTTAAGGGCTAATGCATGTGAAAGCTGGACAATGAATGAGGAAGACCGAGGAAGAATTGATGCGTTTGAATTATGGTGTGGGTGAAGAACATTGAATACACCATGGACTGCCGGAAGAATGAACAATCTGTCTTGGAAGAGGTACAGCCAGAATGCTCCTTAGAAGGGAGGATGGCGAGACTTCATCTCACGTACTTTGGGTGTGTGATCAGGAGGGACCAGTCCCTGCAGAAGGACATCATGCTTGGTATAGTAGAGGGTCAGCGAAAAAGAGGAAGACCCTCAACAAGATGGACTGACACAGTGGCTGCAACGATGGGCTCAAACATAACAATGATTGTGAGGATGGCGCAGGACCGGGCAGTGTTTTGTTCTGCTGTACATGGGGTCGCTATGAGTCAGAACTGACTCAATGGCACCTAACAACAATATCCCATAAACTTGTTCATTCATTCAACGAGCCCCCGAGGACACTAGGAAATAGGCATGAACAGGTCCCTTCCACCCTGGGGCTCATACACTGGTGGGAGAACACAAGAAACCTGTTAGCAAGAAATGTGACAACTTCCCATTGTCACCAGTTCCATGAAGGAAGCACCCTGGGTAATGAGAGAGTGGGGGAGGAGCATCTCACTAGGAAAGCTCCTCCAAGGAGATGACATTTTAGCTGGGGAATGAGAAGAGGCCAGTTATGGCAAGATCTGGGGAAGAGCATTTCAGGCAGAGGGCACAGCCTGTGTAAAGGCCCTGGGGTGGGAAAGAGCCTGGAGTATGGGAGGAAAGGGAGGCTGACTGAGGACAGGGTGGGAAAACGAGAGGGGTGTGAGCTGCACGTAAACTGGGGGGAGGGGTGTGGGTTAGGGACACGGGGCCTGAGGACAAGTGTGGCCCAGGGAGACCTGTAAGGAAGCTACCCCAGGCATCCTGGAGGGCACGATGGTGGCCTGGGCTAGGACAGTGGCACTGCGGAGGGAGAGGAATTGGCGGGGTTTGGGATGGATCACATGGGGTAGGGGTGGTGGGGTGAGGAGTCAAGGACCCCAGAGCTGGGCCAGCCCTGGAAATGATGCTATCAAGTCCCTGTCCCCTCAGTCCTTCTGAGAGCCCTGTGTGTCCGACTCTCCTAGTTCCTGGCCCTGCTCAGCACTGGAGACACAGTGAGTCTGGTTGCCAAGCAGCATGTGGGGAGGGGGAGAGGAGTCTGAACTACAACTCCCAGAAACCATCAAGGGGCTGAGCCCCGGAGGCAGAGGCATCCTACCCTAGGACATGTTGAGCGGCACCAGGGTGGATTATCATGCCAGGAGGTGGGTGCGTCTCATCACTGCTATGTCTAGATAGATCCCAAGCCCCCCTCCCCCAAGATGTCACCCAGAGGGCTGTGGGTTCCTGAGTTCAGATCCGCCTGGGGTGGGGCAGCACAGCCAGGGAAAGCTTCGCAGGAGAGGTGATGTTGCGACTGTACCTGAAGGATAACTGGAGAGCACCCAGCACAGGGGAGGGCCCAGGAGAATACAGGCCCTGAGAGGCAGGGAGTGTGCACAGATGTGGAGGTGGGAATGGCCCTGGCTGGAACAAGGTAGGTGAAGCCAGAGTGGGGAGGTGTGGGGGAGGCTGTGAAGGGTCTGGAAAGCCTGGCCAAGGCTGGTGGACTTAGTCCCAGGAGAGGGGTACGGTGCCAAGCCTCCCGGCCGAGGCCAACTGCCAGTTCTTCTGGTGGCATGAGGGCACCAGGGTTGTGTGAACGGGTCCCCTGGTTACCTCCCAGGAAGGTGACAGGCTCCACTTGGGGAGACAGCTTACGAGTTTATTTGGCTTCATTGGATCCCGAGGCCAAGGCCCCAGGCCTGGCCAGGGCAGCAGGAAGGCAGCTAGAGAGCTCCAGCCCCATGTGTCCCCCAGGACAGGGAGGGTCCAGGCACTAATCCCTGGGGCAGGGGCCACAGTGGCAGGACTTGGTCAAAAGTGCCGGTGACAGCTGAGGGCCCTCTCCCCTGCACCTCCCCTCCTCCCTGAACCACCCCCGGGCAATTCCCTGAGACAGGCTCTGGTCCTCCCAACCAGCTGGGTACAGTGTCGGGCCCCAATGGGGCAGATAAGTTGGAGGAACCCACAGGTTGCAGGTGTAGGGGGGTGCAGGCCCCCCATCCAGTGTGAAAGCTTCCTGTGCAGTGTAGTGTTCCCGACCCGCAGAGGGGGCGGGTCCCTGGGGGAAACTGAGGCAGCACCCGAGGCTGCCTGGCTCCTATTCCAGTGTAGGCTGTGGCTCCTCCACGGCGGATGGAGCACGCGAGAGCGGCCCGGTCCACTCAGGGCCTTGCCTCTGGCACCCAAGGGGCCTGGGCACCCACGTCTTTGGTCTGCACCCTGCAGTCCTGGGGGCCTCCCCGGAAGGGATTGGCAGGTGGGGAGTCCCAGAAGGGGTCCGAGTCTGGGAACAAGGTCCAGGGTGCCCGGCGGGGGGCAGGCTGTGGCGAGGGCAGGGGCGATGGCCGTGGCCCAGCTGACACGAAGCTCCACGGGTCAATGCGGCTGCGAAGAGGTGAGGGCCGCGGGCGGCTGATGAGGCCCAGGGGCGGTGAGCGTGGGGTGCCCGGGGTCCCCGGAGCAGAGCGTGATATCCCTGGCGGGGGTGAGACAGTAAGTCCTGTGGAGGGGGAAAGGACACACAGTCAGCCAGTTGCCACTCCTGGGTGTCCCCAGGAGGCAATACCCTGCTCTGGGCCTCAGTTTCCCTATCTGTACAGAGAACTACTGGACCCATAACTTCCATGGCCCTCTCTGTTCCACAGTTTATCCGTTTATTATGCAGTGGTTTAAAGAGAGGCCTCGGGAGCAGACAGGCCTGGGCTTGGGCCCCAGTTCAGCCCCTTACTGGTGATTAAGGTGGTGTCCCTTAATCTCTCTGTGCCTTAAATTTCCTCATCTGTAAAATGGGCACAATGAGAGTACCTAGTCCACAGGGAGAAATCCCTGGGTGTTGCAAACGGTTAAGTGCTCAACTACTAGCCAAAAGGCTGCTTGTTCGAACCCACCCAGAGGCCTCAAACAGGCCTGGCAATGTGCTTCTGAAACGTCACAGCCTTGAAAACCCTATGGAGCAATTCCACTCTGCACACACAGGGCAACGTGAATTGGAATCAACTTGCTGGCAACCAACTACAACAGTCCACAAAACCAAACCCACTGCCTTCGAGTGGATTCTGCCCCCTGGCGACCCTACAGGACAGAGCAGAACTGCCCCCTAGTGACCCTACAGGACAGGGCAGAACTGCCCCCTAGCGAGCCTACAGGACAGGGCAGAACTGCCCCCTAGCGACCTTACAGGACAGCAGACCTGCCCCCTAGCGACCCTATAGGACGGGGCAGAACTGCCCCATAGGGTTTCCAAGGCTGTAAATCTCTACGGAAGCAGACTGCCACATCTTTCTCAGAAGGAGCGGCTGGTGGTTTCAAACTGCCCATCTTTTGGTTCGCAACCGAGTGCTTAATCACTACACTAGCAGGGCTCCTTAAGAGTCCACAGGATTGGTGCAATTAAATGAGATAACCTCTCTAAAGCACTAGGAGCAGGTAACAACCAGGAAGAGCTTGCCATCATCATCCTTCTTATCACCTGTATGATTTCACAACTGGGCCGGCCCCTCCCCACTACTAACCACCAGGTGAGGGAAACGAGAACCCAGTTTCCTATGTGGTTCCCAGCACCCTGAGGGCCGGTTTGGGGTTCAGCAGATGGCTGTGGCTCGGCCTTGCCTCCTTGCCGGTCCTCCAGCCCTCGCGGCCCCAGTCCTGGCACTCACCCCGCGTCTCCTCGCGCCGGGGGCTCTTGGCAGACGGCTGGCCAGTGGGGGCGCCCAGGTCCAGCAGCAGCGGCGCGTGGGCGTCGGGGCTCACCGGGGAGGCGGGCGC